TATTTCATGTAAGTCTTTCCATGTTTTTCTAAAATCAACCAGCTCATCATTTCTTAAAGCACACTAGTATTTCATCACAATCATGTACTACAACTTATTCAGCCATTCCCCAATTGACGGGCATCCCCTTGATTTCCAGTTCTTTGCCACCACAAACAGAGATGTTATAATTAGTTTCAACATATAGGTTCTTTTCATTTTCCCCTGATCACCTGAGCAAACAGACCTAATGGTGGTGTTGCTGGGTTAAAAGTCATAGACAATCTTAGACCTCTTTGAGCATCATTCCACATTGCTCTCCAAAATGTTCAGATAATTTCACAGTCCCACCAACAGTGAATTAGTGTCCCAAGTTTTGCACATCCCCTCCAACATTTGTCATTTTCCCTTTCTATCATTTTAGCCAAATTGATATGTGTGAGATGATGCTTCAAAGTTGTTTTAATTTGCATTTTTCTAATCAATAATGATTTAGAGCATTTTCATATGACTATATGTAGCTGTGATTTCTTCATCCAAAAACTGTCTATTCATATCCTGTGACCATTTATCAACTGGGGAATCATTCATATTTTTATAGAGTTGACAAAGTTGAGTGTGAGATATGAGACCTTTATCTGAGAAACTGTCTATGAAAATTTTTCCCCAATTTTCTTTCCTTCTGATCAGCCTGGGGCTCTTAAAAGGGGTCTAGGGTTAGAAGTCGCTGCTGAGAAGTGCCCCCAGATTGGGTCGGGTATATGGCCAGGAGGGGCATCAGTCTGGAGCCAGAGTTGGAGAGGGTCTGACTTCTGCTCGGGCCACTGATTAGGTCCTTCCTGACTTGAAAGTCTTATACTTCTTATACCCAGAGCTGGGCATAGGCTATCATCAGGGCCGCCTTTGCAATAGGCTGGGGCTTGGAGGCCCATCGGGTCACAGGATGCCTAACATTGGATTTTGAGATGGATGCGATGTCAGAGATCATCAAGTCCCAACCCATCATTTTGTATGTGAAACTGAGACCTAAACAGAAGACATGACTTGTCTGAGATCACCCAGCTGGTAAGCTATCGTAGCTCCAATTTCTCCAGCTTTGAATTTTACAAATTTTATGACATCGATCATTCAATTTTGATTAAGCACCTACTATGTGTGAGGCATTATGCTGGGAGGTAGGGGTTCCCTTGGGAGGTAGCGAGCTCCCCCTCATCGGAGGTCTTCTGGATGAACTCTGAGTAGGGAGGTTGTCAAGGCAAAGGTACAAGTTGGGTCATGAGGTTCCTTCCAGGCCAGAGAATTTTAAAAGTTGACAAAAAATTAAAGATAGGTTGGCAGGCATTATCAATAGGGTATGAGGGTGAGAGCACCGGATTTGACCTTAGAAGACCTGGGTTCCAATCCTGGCTCTGTATGACCTTGGGCAAGTCAGCCTCTCTGGGCCTTGGTTTATCCATGAATACAACGAGGAGGTTAGAAGGGATGACCCTTCCAACTCTAACTATGATCTCCTCATTCTGTCTTTGTATTCTTAGGGGCCTGGAGATCTGGGCTGGGCATATAGTGGCACTTAATAAATGTTTGCTGGTTGATGGATTAATCTTGTAAAGTCACTCTCTGACTGGCTTTGGTTTGTTTGCAACAAAAGGAAGTTTGAATTGATGCTATCTGAGGCTCTCGTAATCACATCACCACCGTTCTACAGGGGAGAAAACTGAGGCTCAAAGAAATGACTTTTCCAAGGTCACACAGATGAGAAGAAGCAGAGGGAGACCACCTCTCAGTGGGTCCAGCAAGGTCAAAAGTCAAGTCAAGTGAACAAGCAGAGGACTATGACATCAGGAAGGTGATGCCAGGACTTGTAGGTGAATTGGATGTAAGTGAGGCAGGGCTGTGCAAAGTCACCAACCTGGGCCACCTGGGTCCGGTGGCAAGATATAGGTCAGAAGGACCAAAGATGGCCCAGGTTGCAGTGGGAGGCTTTGGCCTTTTTGAGAGCTAAGGTCTTTCCCAGGCATCAGTTTGATTCTAACGATCAGTTCAAGGCCTGCACAATGTCTTTGATGATTGCCTTTTGACTAATTAAAGGAGGCATGGAGAAGGAAATGGCAAACCATTCCAGCACCTTGCCAAGAAAACCCCATGGACAGTATTGTCCACGGGGTCACGAAGAGTCAGACACAGCTGAACATCCACAAAATTAACAGGGGGGCTTGGCAAGCAGAAGGAACCTTAGAGTTCAATCCAGAAGATCTGGGTTCCAGGCTAGTGGGGTACTCTGGAATCTTTCTCTCTATGGGTATTTATAGTATCTCATGGGTTTATTGTGAGAAAAAAACATTTGGCAAACCTTAAAACATTCTATTCTCTATTTTATTTTGATATCCTGTAAGTAATTAGGTTCACACAGAATATATATGGAGCACAGGAGAAAGAGCCCTTGGGGCTAAGCTCTGGCTGGCAAGCCACTTGGACTCAATGATTACTTCCAGCTCTAAACCCTATAATGAGGTAGAGTAACGCCCAGGATTATGAGGTCAGTGGCAGGGCTAGAAGTACCAGCTGGGGTGCATGACTCCCAGTAGGCTGCTCCTTCCATTACTATACCAAGCCTCCCTTTATAGTCACACTGAGGTGGATAGGGCCAGTGTCTGTTCTGCCAGCTCTAAATTCTGAGATCCAAGGGTGACTGAAAAATGGAGCCCCACCCCAAGATAAGGTTAGACTTTAGATGTAGTGGCAAGACATCCTTGTTCTATCAACTAGAGGAGCAACCTTACACATCCATCCCACTGTTATAATACTAGGATTAATAGTAATATAATATTATGATCACAGCTGAAGGACTGGACAGAAATTATCCCTCCTGGATCACATAAGAACCAAGATTCACATCCAGGCCCTCTGGCTCAGGCAGCCTGTTCTCAGAGGAACCAGGAGAACCTGAGCTCCATTCTGGGCCCAGGGACTTGATCTCTTTTGGATGGACTCTAGCTGATGTTTCTGTTCAGTTCTGTTGGCCCCAATTTCCTCAGATGTAAAAAGGGGAAAAAGACAGCCCTCAGTCCTCAGGAGGCCTAACCTGGGCTGCCGTGGGGAAGGAAGCACAGGCTTTGCAATCCCAGGGGGGCAGGGTGCACATCCTGGGAGGCTTACAAGTCTGTGAAGAGGTTGGCAGAGGAACCTTGGGGTTTGTACCCCGACTACACCTCCCACCCGACAGGCAGGAGCTGGTACTGGGCCCAGAGAAAGCGGACGCTTGAGGTGCCAGGAGGCCTGCCTGGGCCCCTCACAGTTACCTGCGGCACCGGCTCATCTGCCTGGCTCACTCAGCCTGCTGGGCCCCAGTAGTATCTCAGTGCCCACCTCTGTGGGCCCCACCATGAAGTTGTAGAGAGAATCTGGGAAAGTCAGGGTACAGCTTGGAGAGGCACGAAGTCATGGTTGGCTAGGGCATCCTTCTCAAAATGGAGGTTCTGGGAGGAACCAGCCAATTGGAGGAGAGGCCCAGAAGGGCAGAGGGTGCTTCCAGTGTGGAAAGTCCAGGGACTCAGGTTTCTATGGGCCAGAATCAAGAGGAAAGGTGGTGGTGGCCCAGTCCCTACCAGTCCCCTCCTTGTATCTTAGAGCCAGAGGGGGAATGGATGTCAGAAGTCATCATTTTATAAATGAGGAAACTGAGGCCCAGCAGAGTTAAAGTCGGAGTTAAACTGAGGCCACAGGTAATTGGGAGGGAAAAAACTTGCCTGGGGGTGGGGGAGGATGAGGAAAGACTTTATGAGCTGAAGCTAAGCTTTAAAAGCAACTACAGATGGGAAGACGCAGGAGAGAGAGGGAGGGCATTCCAAGCATGGAGGCCAGGAGGCAGGAATCTAGAGTGGGAAGTTAAGTGACTTGCCCAAGGTCACAAAGGCCATGTCAGAGGAGGGAATCTGAACCCAGGTCCTTTGATTTGAGAATCAATGCTCTGTCCACTTGTACCACAAGGTATTCTGGGTGATAGTATTTAGTCCAGACAGCAATCTGGTGTGACAACAGTCCCTGTTGCTAAGGGGACAGCTGGGAGCTGCTGGAAGTAGAAAAAAGTGAATCCAAAAGAAATGAATCTCTAATGGCGGAATTTCAGGTGGTAAGGAAAATGAGTGGGGGCAGCAAGCCAGGGCCTTCACATTCTCTCTGTCCTCTCTCTCTCCCTCTCTTTCTCCCTCTTTTCTTCTTTCCTCCTCTTTCTCTCTCTTTTCCTCTTTCTCTTCTTTCTCTCTTTTCCTCTTTCCCTCTCTTGTCTCTGTCTCTCTCTGTTTCTCTCTCTCTCTCTCTCTCTCTCTCTCTCTCTCTCTCTCTCTCTCTCTCTC